ACTTGATATGTATAGTTCACCACAAAAGCAACTTTTTCTTCTTCCATTTGATAAGTTGTCTGAAAATGAGAAGTGAAAAATGTTGTAAAACAAATGTGGTGCATGTAAAATTAGCAGCAGTCAGACGGGCAAGTGGAACGAATAAAGAAAAAATCTTTTTGATTTGAATTCTTCATCAAATACGTATATGTTAACTTTATAATAAGTAAGGTTTAGTTTCAATGTTGCATGTCTCAAATTTGCAAAAAATCGTTTTATTATTTTATTGCTATCAAAATTTAGAACATTCATTACAGAAACTTTAGATGTTAGCTTTTACAAATTCGCTATCTCGTTATGCCCTCTCTTCTCGATGTCTGAAGAATTAGTGTGCAGCATTATTTTCTTGGTTTTATAAACGACGCTCTACTTATTTGCTGCTGGAAATGTTATCATGAACACTTCGCTAATACAAATTTTTTCAAATTCTAATCTTTGTATAACTTACTTTAGAGGCAATGCAAAACTACTATCCGGAATTCTACACGATCGCACCAAACGAAAAAATCTAAAAATTTTAGGCGCGCAACGAGGCATGAGAAGGGATTTGAACAAACTGGCGTTTTTATCCAAAAAATGCAAAAACGGTTTTTGTGTGCATTTATTTACATAATTTAATAAATCTGGTTAATGAATGATTTTAAGTGAACATGGTTTGAAGAATGCTTTGAAAGTTGAAATAAACGGATTGAAGCAAGTGCCTAAAAGTTTTCTTTAAAAGCCGGCGAATAAAAAAAAAACAAGACAAACAACGTGAATACGTACAATAAAATAATATGGGAGATAATTGTGGGTTGATAAAAAATTGCAAAAAATTAAGTGTAATTAAACAAAGAAGCAATTTCAAGACGACAACAGAACGAATGAGCAGAGCAGAGCAAACAAAATATAAATCTGATTACATAACTACAATTCTAAAGTTACAATTTACATTAGTCTAAAATCATATAAATTTTTCATTTATTGGTTAGCCTCGATTAGTTAGCACTGCATTCCACTAACCACGAATAAGCATCTACATACCGATAATATAATGAACGTTGAATTTCACATAATGCGATAGCTGATTGAAACATTGAAAAATTAAAACAGTCAGCAAAATATGCAATAATGGAAACATTAAAATCTTGATAGCATAATGAAAATAGTAAGCAATAACATCATTATCGTAAAGTAGAAAATAGATGGAAGTGTTTGTTCAAAAGTTTCATTTTAAGCAGACAATGGACATGTATAAGTGAAAAGAATTGTTTTAATTAACATAATGTTAATTCATACACATATAAATTTTCATTTCACATCTGACGGACTCCTCTGGACCTATCAAATACCGTCCACCACTGGGGACATTTCAATAGATTTCAACTTATTTCAACTACTTGCGCCTTTATTAGTTATTTATCTTTCTTATCCTTTTTCTTCGATGAGAAGGAGGGCATTCGGAAACCTTTCTTCTTCTTCTTCTTGTCCGCACCTGAATCTGATTCTCCCTTGTCCTAAATGGACGATGCACATGAAAATCAGATAGATCCACTTAAATTATATGGTTATTAATTAATTAATTAATTATTATTATTCAACAATGGCACAACAATCTTTTTCATGCATCGTTAATGAATCACATGCAAATAGGTTCACAATCTTTTATGTCCTTAAAAATATTACAACAAAACATGAAATCATGAAACGCGAGGAAACAGCTTGTAAAACAGAACTAAATCGTGAGAGGGGGAGAGCGAGAGAGAAAGAGAGAGAGGGGGGGCTGCAAAAACACACACTTACATCATTTCCACTTAGCACCTCAGGAGCTGTGGCATCTCCACTTGATGTTGATTTCGTAGGAGAGGTTGGAGACTTCAGAGGTTTTTCTATTGTTTCTAATAATAAAAATTAAAAATATTAGCAAAAGAAATAACATCAAAATAAATTATAAATGCAAATATTATTATAACAGTTTAAATATTTCGTTCAACAAAGTTAACGTTTGCTCATTTTGGCACTTTTCGCATGACATAACCATTAAATAAAATAATTTAAACCATCAGCAGCCCACCAACCTCCATTAACATGAACAGGGGCAGTTGGAACAGCAGCAGCAGCAGCGGTAGTGGTGGTAGCAGTGGGAACAACTTGTGGTGTGTCAACTGGTGGAGGATGCTGCTGATGCTGTTTAATTTGTTGTAATCGTTCATCAGTTGATATCAGCTGACCATCTGGTCCAGGGACTATGTTGTCCTCATCATCGTCATATTGAACCATTGATGACTCTGGTGAGGTCGGACAAAGCAAAACAATTAAGCCAGCATTTAACAACAAATTTTCAAAAAAAAAACATCATTAATAAAAATATTGGTAACAAAATCTTAAATAAAATCCTTAAATTCAATAAATACATCACATCAATGAATTTCACATAAAACAAAATTTCAGAAGAACAAGCAACCATTTGATGTTGATTTCAACAAGCAACCACCTGTTGTCACTCCGGTTGAACTCTTGCCTGATTTTTTATCAACTTCAAGTTTGTATGCCTGCACCTCCTCCTCAGTCATGCTGTCGAACGGGTTCGGTGCGTAGTAGGTCCTGTAGAGAGAACCCTGGTTCTGATGGCCCTTCTGTATAATTCCTCTTGATGCCGCGCCAACTGTTATCACCGTGTCCGACGATACATTTCCCGACTGTACGTGCGTGTTGTGTGTATGTGTTAACCCGTTACAAACTCACATCATAAAGATCCGTTTGTGTGTGTGTGTGTGTATAGATGTGAGTGTGTTCGTAAAAGGTAGAAATATTTAAAAAAAATTTAGAAATTCATTTAGGTGCAATTATGATTATTATACATTTTACGGATTTAGTTATCTGAAGTAACATAAACATGAAAAGCTTAACGAAATGTTAAAAACGCAAAATGACTAATTTGATCTTTCTTCTAACATTTGAAACTTATTTAAGCAAGCAAAATAAATTAATTCATTTTGTTTAACAAATACTTGCTAATTATTATATGAAACGTTTGATATTTGATTATAAATGCCCCTAAACAAACTGTCAAAATTAATTAAAATTTTCTGGGATATCACAAAGTCTTTCCAATAACAAGACAATGACATCTGTGCTAAATTATATTATGTCGTAAAAATGTGATAAAAAGTTAAATCTGCACGAATTCCTGCCTACCTTGATTTTTTGCGCCTCCTCCCAAGTCAGTCCAGTTAATATCTTTGATTGGGGGCCGGATGTGATATTTTCATCATAATATTCACGTCTTATCTGTTTGTTTGTAAATCATTTAAAATTAACATAAGAATTCTATTAATCAAAATTATCGAGAACAAAAGAAGATAACATTTCTGATTTGTGAATACTCCCCAGCTCAAGTTTATTAACACTCTCAAACATACATCAGTAACAAAAACGTGTGGCGAACATAGTGATAATAATAACAAAGGTGACCTACTTGTTTGACCTTAGCCTTGACCTCATTAGGATCAGTACCAACGGGAACAAACTGGTTTGGGTTGTCAATTTTTATGAGTGTACCAGCAGGAGAGCTATCTGGCACCCACTGTGAACCACCAGTTGTGTATTTTCAGTTAGAAAAGTTGATAAATAATAACAAAAACTTATATCATCAATAATAACAAATAATGGAAATTATTTTTAAAATTAATAAACAAAACAATTTAATGTAGAATTTAACATAAAAAAATAGAGGTTCTTACCCTTGTAATTTTTTTGTTTTGTGGTGTACATGTGGGCACCTCAACTTCTTCTTTCAAGTAAGCCATTGGAGAGTTCAACCACTCCGTAAATTTACCAGAAGGTCTGCATTGTCTCGGCCTGTAGACAATAATTCATCAAATTATCTCTATCACACAGGATATTACATTTTTGAGCAGTTGTTCCGCTGACATGAAAAAATTAAAAAGCATGTGATGAAATAAGCTTCTAAACTATCAACTAACATCAAATCGGCCTCCCCAGCAACATTACCACCTATACTATACTGGACTCACCTATCATCATCTTCCTCGAGATAACCAATAGAAACAGATGTTGGAGGCAGCTCAACTTCCGAGTTCACTTTGTTTGCCTTGTTCTCCACCTTGCGAAACAATATCTCTCTAAATGGATAGCCAGTTTTGTGACCCTTCAATCAAAAAAATTTCTCTGCATTATTATCATTAATAAAATGCACAGTTTCTCTATATGAAAGTGAAAGACCTATTTTATAAAAAAAAACAATAACAACAACACACGTTTAGACGACATTTTCCCCGAGATCGGGGTTTGCCGTTTGGCTACCTATGATGAAACCTGAAATACCCCTTTTGTCATCATAAATATTTTATTGGCTAATTTTTATGCAGGATATCCTTCCTTACGCAACCACAGTTATAAGCGGTGGGCCTAGCCTTTGATGATCCAACATCATTCACAAGGCAGTGAGGGTCAGTTTAATGTCATAAGCAGGACATTTTTTTTTTTTTTTTTATAAAATAATAATAATATTTTATAAAAAAACCAGACTGAAATAACTGAGAATCTATAGAACACTGACAAGACAAATGGAGCATGAACAGTTCATTATGTAATGCATTCTCACACCATTTATATATAAAAGCAAAAGTTCATGAGAGATAATTAATAAAAGTAAGTGAGTATGACAACAACTGTACAAACTCACAGCATTCTCAAGATGCCGCATGAGAGCTTCAAACTCAATTTCATTTTTCCTCTGCTTTTTCAGAGCTAACTGGACGATCTTCTTTTGAACCTCTTCGGATGGAAGAACCAAGTTATCCAGACCCAAGGGAGCTGTGCGTAACTGCCGACAATTTTTAATGATTGACAAATGCAAAATAAGAATCCACCGATAGACGTAAACTAAAAAAGATTGAAGATACAAACCTGGACATCAATGGTTGCCATCAACTTCTTACCATCCATGAAAACTTCTTCAATGGATTCACCAAATACCAATGCTCCAATCCCTTTCAAAAGTACAGCCTGGTAATTTTATTTTTTAAAACTCGATATCAGTCAAGATATTTGTAGGAGCGTGTACACTGTACACAAATTAAACAAAACATTAAAAAATGATATGAAAATAAAAATACGAAAATCAGTATCAAAAATACTACATCATTAAATTAAATTATTTATCAAAACTAGTTGAGGTAGAACTAGCAGTTGTATAAACAGCAAGAACTATAAAAACAGGCAACCAACTGAAACATTTAAAAAATTAGAAACAGCTGACCTTGTTGGCAACCTTGAAGACATCAGCAAGCTGTTCAGTGACCTCCTGCTGGTCATTCAAGGTAACTGTTGGCACCTTACCGAGAATGATGGCATCGTGACTCAAGGGAAGGAGCCCTGTGTCCAACGAGCCCATCTAATGCATGATGAATATAATTAAATTAAACTTTTCATCTTCAAGATGTCAAACAGTTAATAAAAATTACACAGAATTATCAAGGTAAATTAATTATACAATCTATAAAATGTAGCAACTAGCCAGCAGTTTATGTCCATATTTAACTTATTATAAAATGTAGTACCTCCACATCCCACTATTCATTAAGCTACTCACAACAACAAAAATATTGCTCTATTAAATCTGGTTAACTAAATAGGTTCCTAATTGCTCCTCAAAAAATGACAGATTGTCTACCAATTAAAATTTCATTTTGAACAGATTTAAAACATTCGAAATATTTTTAAAAAAATTTAATTTTCATTCACCTGTAAAAAAAATTAAAATTTAGAAACTAACCATAACAGCAGTATTTGATCTGAGGAGCAAAACTGATTTGACACGTTCTTCAGCAAGGTATGCAGCAGCGTGGAGAGTAGATGTAATGCTGTCCACCCCTGAAGATCCAGAAATGGAATGTCCTTCCTGATTCAGTTTGATCAACTGCTTTGCTGACAGGATACCAGCTGGCACAGCTCCAGGTGAAATCAGAAAATCATTCTCATTTACTTTAGCCTTTTATTTTAATTGGGTTTAATTTTAAATCTTTAGTGATTAATTAGGAAATAATTAATTCTATGCATTATACTTCAATTTTCATATTATGATATCATTCTATTGTAACTTTTATTTTCAAAAAAGAGCATTGATGGAGGGTCCCACGATGCAATAAAATGCTACTATAGCATCCCTAATAAAGGCTATCACCATAAAGAATAAACAGGCCATGTAAAATCAGCAAATTTCAAAAACAAATAAACTCATCAAGGGCAAATGAAAGTGAAGAAGTAAAAAATTAAAAAAATAAAATAAATAAAAGTGGGTAAATCATAACCAATAGAAAACTATAAAATATTTAAATACAGATTTATTAATTGAAACTTTCAAATAAAGAAGTGAGAAAATAATTGAGTCAAATTGAGCAAGAAAAAAATAATGTTTTCATTGAATACAAAAGCTGAACATGTAGAAACCAACAATGAGAAAACTTTTGAAATGATCTAACCGAAATGTATGTTGGATGAGGAGATTGTGACCAGTGGTACTGATCAATCAGTCGATAGCAGCAGGTCAGCTTGCATCTCAACAGCCTCTCACCCTTCTCCAGGTTAACTGTTGTTGCATCCTCGGCGAGGTCATTTATTGGAATAATTGGAGTTTCAACTGGAATTCATTCATTTATTTATTTTTATACAATCATTTTGATGACTGGATTTCTTAATTATTAATATATGTTCAGTAAGCTTAAACTCAGATCGATGTAACAAATATTTTTTAAACACATAATTTAAAACATACAATCAAACAACTTCACATTTATTATAGCAAAGAAATCAATAAGAACTTTATATATATAAAGTAAATTTCAAGAAATAATAAAAATTTCCATCACATCATAAAATTAACAAAACAAACTTCTTCCAAAAACTGCTCCATGTTGCAATCTGGCTTGTGGCAATAAAAGCTCAGAGGCCTGTTGTAATGCAATAATAGAGGCTTTGCTGGGACTGGAACATTTTGATTTCTCAACTACAACATCCTCTAACTCATCTCGAAACTGTCTGCTTTTTAAAATCTCATTCACTCTCTTCCTTTCAGCCATCTGGCGGACATCCTGCTTAACTTCAACGGGTCTGTATTGTTCCCTAACATACTCTGGACTATTGACATCTGAATTTTAAATAAGCATTTGAAGCAAGAGTTAAAAAAATTAACAGGACATTATATTATAAGATAGCCATCATCAAATCAAATAAAAATTGCTACTAATAAAATTGATTGGAAGGATCGATCATAATTTTAAAATTATAACTAGCATGTACATATCTGATATTTTAATAATACTGAAACAAACTAAAAAAAAGTTACTTACAATTTTTTTACAGAAAAAACATAAAATAAAGTCAAAACTTGCCAATGGTGTCAATAAACTTTTGGCCACTTTTAACCCCTGTCATCTCCGCCTGAATATTGATGGAATAATTTAATAAATTTTACGATCATATACAAACGTTAGTTCGCCATTTTGTAGTTAGCTAACCTTTTTAAATTATACTAAATGACAGTCAAGACGTCAATAATTTGCATCGAAAATAAGAATATGGCCTCGGTTAAAAAAAAAACCGTGAATCATCCAAAGGTACCATTAATATTATGTTGCGCATATTTTAAACAAAAATGTAAAATGTAACTACTATTATTTAGGAAAAATAATAGATTTGTAAAAATGTTTGTCATAAATGTTAGATTTTTCAAACTCAAATTAAAATTAAACAGATAATATCTACCCCGGTTTTTACCTTTAAATACTTATGAATTGCAGCAATTACCAACCTGGTAACAGATCAACGGCTTTAAAACTTTTTTCTAATTTGTTTAATTCTAACTTGTTTGATTTGTTTGGCTCTCTCCAATCAGCAAATCCATGCTATTTAAGCATGGATTTGCTGATTTGCTGGTACAAACAACGACCTGTGGTCGGTCCGCAAGACCTTGTACTTATTTTGACGAGTATAATTGAATTGACATTATCATTATAACCCGACATTTTAAAAAATTCTACCCCCCCCCCCCCGGTTAACGGTCGAAAAGTTTTATAATTATAATAAATGTCTTGCGTCATTGCTGCTCTCATGCTCATTACAATCTACATTGTGAGGCGTAATTTAATTTAAATTCAGAAGCTAAGCCAGCATAAAATATGTTGGTCATTTAATTTAAAATAGTTATTGTTAGATCAATCATTTTTGTTTTGTCAAATTTTCCAATTATATTAAAAACAAAACAAGAAACTTAGTGAGGCAAATGCTTCTTGGCCAAACCTCATGTCAAGCACTACAGTTCAATTTCTGTAAAAAAAAATCTATGTTGCAAAATCTTTTTAGCAAAATGATTTAAAAATATTTTCTAAATTGGAAGTTTAAAATTTAATTTTTATTTTATTTACTCATAACACTTCACACATTGTTTTGATTTCACTGATAATAATCCAATAATGCTCCTTGCTATTACTGAAATTCTTCGGCATATAATTTTGTTAATCCACTTGTCTCTGCCGTGTCATCCACTAATTCTACTTTATCACATTATACTTTCGATTACTATACCTTCTCATCTTATAAATTGCCCTTAACGGCATTTAAAACGAATTCATGACTCTTCTTAATTCCAGAGACAACACCACAAATCAGCTTCATTTTTCGAACAAGCCAATCCTTATACTAAATGATCATTACACTTGATAGAGCCATTTGAATTAGATACCAACATTTTATTTTTGTTGTTATGTGAATGACCGAAAATGTATCTACAGTATTTAACAATGGTTAGCAACAGAGTATTGCTGGATATTTGATTGATTGACTGACTGACCAACTGACTGGCTAACTAAATGATAAATATGATGAAGACAATTGCGATTACAAAATAGCAAAGTTGACAACACAGAACGAACAACAACAGAAAATAGATCCTAACAAATAACAACCACCGATATTTTTATTCATACCAGCAAACAATATAATGATAGAAGTGACTTGTAAGCACGGAAGACCGTGAGACATTCAACGATCTATATGACACAAATCT